CTCCGCTGGCCAGATGTCACCTCTAAAGGATGCTCTGCCCTCCCTTCTTCTCCCCCAAGCTCTTCCCATCCCAAAGGAGCAGGGTACAAGTGTGTATGACTTCAGTCTTTCCAGAGCTGGTAGACTGGAGATGATTAACCCTATAATGGAGATGACACTCCCCTAGGAGACGCCAGCCCAGACAGCTCCAGTGAACTAGAGGCAGCAGCTCCACCAGGAGAGCTATAAAGGGAAACCCTCCTCTGGCGCAGCAATCAGGAGCTTGTCTCATCTCAGATGGAAATTGCACTAGGGGAAAAAAAAAAGAAGAAATAAAACATAATCCATGCATATGACAATTTTTTCCCCCACTTTAAGCTGATTCCATCTCCGAGATGGGAGAGAGGTGGCGGAGATTTGCTGACATGTCACTTGAGCAATAAACTCCTCTTTCTAAAACATGCCATCGCAAGCAAAGTGACAAACAGACCCCAGCAGCACACACGGGCACTGCTCGGGGCTTCTGATCAGCTCCAGGGATGTGCAAAGAAAAGCCTGGCCAGAAAGGAGGACCCAGTAATGATGGGAGGAAGAGAGAGGCAGGGGTGAAGTCCTAACCCTCAGTCCTGCACTGATTTATAGCATCCCAGTCTGGTTTGGGTTGGAAGGGACCTTAAGGCTCATCCAGTTCCACAGGCAGGGACACCTTCCACTAGAGCAGGTTGCTCCAAGCCCCATCCAACCCGGCCTTGAATGTTTTTCCTGAGTAATGGCATAGATGCAGAACACACTCTGCCCCTTCTTCACCTTTATATAGGAAGGGTCACCACAGCCCTGAATTTATTCCCTAACCCTCAAGAACAAAAGGAGAAGGCAAGCATGCTGGATACTGAAGGAGTAAGGAGAACAAACTTAGGTTGTTAATATGAGTGCAGCTTAGCTCCATCCTCACCCCATGCCCGCAGGGTTGTTGAGGGCTGCTCCCCATCAAGCCCAAGAGCTCAAAAGTCCTTCACTGCTCAGTAATGGAGAAAAAACAAAGTAATCGCACCTTGGCCTCCACAGCCAAGCTATATTCCTTTAGACTAGGCTTGGGAAGAGAGCAGGGAAGCAACCAGGAGCTTCATCTCTGCCAGTCAGCCCCCCACATCATTCAGCCCTGAGGCTACAAGGATGACAAACACCACTTCCTCAGGGGTAGAAAGCCTGGAGCAGGTCCTTGTGCCTTCTGTTTGCTCTCACCAACTGCAAATGCAGCTGCCCAAAACCTCAGTGGAGACTCAGCATGGCCCAAGGCCCGGCAGGAGCAGTACTGGGCATGGAGGGGGACACGCAGCCTCCGCCAGGTCCCAAGCAAAAGGAGCATCACCCTGTTATCCATCAGAAACCAACCCCGTTCTTCAGATTACACAGTAAGAACATGAAAAGGCAAATTCCCATGGATAAAGGTGCAGGGAAAAGTCACAGAAAACAGACCTATTGCTGAGAAATGCTTCGCAAACAAGAGCATTTTGCTTGCATCCATCAAACACACACGCTTGATTTTTGGTTTGTTTCATGGCCAACTTCTCCTAAATCACACCAAGAGCACAGCAGGGGCAAAACCAGTTGGCAAAAGAAGTTGAGGTAAAGCATGGCAGGTCTCAGTGGCAAAATGCCTTTTAAAAGCCCGAGTGGAAACCATGGGCAACATCAGAGTTAAAACCAGCTTGGACTCATGTCAAACTCAGATTTGACTCGTAGAGCTAGAATCAAAGGGGGCATAAATAAAGGCATCACATCACTCTATCAAGACAAGCAGAGGGGATGAACAGAGGAGCTTGAGAAAGAAACAGCTCTCACCCTACAGCCAGATCCACTCTCCATCTGCCTGGGGCACCACTGGATTTGGGGGATATCACACATCATGCTGATGGGATCATCAGAGCATCACCGTGGGAAGCGCTGAGTGATGCCAATTAAAGTGGCATCATAATCAAGCTGCTTGTTTTGGTGCTGAGAGAACTGCCCCAGAGGTCTCAGCAGCGCCTGGACTCAGCTCAAGCACTGGATGAATGCTCAGGATAGGATTTCTCCGTCGTGAACTGCTTGCTACTGGTAAGGGCAGATGCTGAACACGGTAGGAGGGGACACAAACGGCCTCATCCTTATGATGTGTCCTTATGAGATCCAGGAAGACAATCACCTCTGACCAAGACAGCCAGCTCTGACCAAGACAACCACCTTTGCACACACAAGCTCTTGATGTAACCCCACATAGAGCAGCCCCAGCTCAAGGACCTTCGCATCCATCAGTAAAAACACCCAAGCTCTTGGACCCACAAACCCTCTTCCTATTCCTGCAGGTTTTGCTGCATCCAGGAATAAATCCTGCCCCTCCTATCCCAGCAGGTAGCTCTATCCCAGGGTCTAAACCTAGATTTAACACACCCATCTAAAGTGCTGGTGCTGGAGCAAGACATATAACATCCCCTCTAACAGACATGGCAAGATGGAAGGAAATACCTGAGCATGTCTGATGACTCTGGCCCTAAACTGACTCCTAATGGTGGATTTAAGGTAACTGGGTTTGCATAGAGCAAATCCTGCACCCTATAATGGGAAAGTCTCCTCACAGCCTTCAATCCAACCTCTCTTTCACGTGCTGAATTAGCTCTGCTTGGAGAGGTGGTGATGATGGAGCTGAAAGGAACCCCTTTAGCATGGCAAGCTCAGGGTCCTCCATGCCGCACCACCCCATATATAATAACCTATCTCCTATAGCCAAAACCCCTCCATTGATGGGGAAAGGGCTCCTGAGCACTTCAGAGAAGCAACAACTTCTGCTGCTGAGTTTTCAGCTTGTTTTCCCTTTTGTTGGCTCTGAAAACCTAAAAAGGGACCTCTAGAAACATCTCTTCCCTTCTAAATCCTTGGCTGCGACTCCCCATCCTCCCACCTCACATGGAAATGAGTGGGAAAAGAGGAAATCCTACTTTTAAACCCCCTCCCATGCACTCTTCTCTGTCTGTCATCCTTACAGGGCTGAGGAGAGGACCAAAAGCAGTGGTGGAGCCACTGAATCCTTTGTGAGCAGCATTGCTATTCCAAACAAGTTAACTCCGCACCACAGATCGATGGATGCGCTGGGCTGGGAGGGGAGATTCACGCTTCCTTAATTTCCTCCTCTGGAAATGTGTGGTTTTCCTGTGCTTTTGGCTCCTGCCACAACGCAGCATGGCTGCAGGGATCAGGACCAACGAGGGGATGCAGCAATGGACCATTACCTGCCACACTAACCCCTCCCATCTCAAACCAGAAGGAAACCACCTTAAAACACAGTCTCCCATCTACTAAACCAGTGCTCCAAGTTGGCATCAGCATCAAGACACTGATTGCCTGCTCTAGGGGCAGGACAGCAGGAATATCATGTGCACAGAGGGAATATCGTCCGCACAGACTGCGCACCCCAAAGCCCACGTGCCCACATCCTGAGGCACGCTTGGAATGACGAGGTGCCTGCATAGGGACACAGACATTCCTTGCCACCATCCCAGCCGCACTGGGATGCGCATAGGATGCGCTTTAGGGTGATGACAAGCTGCTGCCTTCTCTTCCTAGAGCAGGATTTGTCCCTCTTCCCACCAGGCCTCTCCAACAGAAGGAGAACATCCCTCCTGCTGACTCACCCCAGCTTGTCTTTGTTCTCCACCAGCACCAGGTGAGCACCCAGAGCCTACACTGGGCGAGCACCAGTATGATGTGTGCTGGAAGCCCTTTGCCGAATCCCACTACCAGAGCAATTCGCTTCCTTCCAGTAAGTTTGCACAGCACCCGTGTTCATACCACCCTGCTGCTGCCATCTTCCTATGTGTTTTGCTGCCCAGACCCTAAATATCCCCAAAATCCTCCCTTTTTGGTACACCCATGGCTTTTTGGTGCTTGGGAGAGCTTTACACTTCAAGCAAGGGAAGGAGCTGCTTAGTACTTAAGCCAAGCTCAGTGATGCACATTAGTGAGACACTCCATCCTCCAACCTTTGCCACCCATTTTCCAGCCTTTTCACCCAGACACAACACCAGACCATAACACAGCTTATTACTTCCCGGGAACACGCTAAGGGCTTGGGAAGGGATAAGAGATTCAGCAGCCAAGAGCCGAGTTTAAGGCTTCCCACTATTCCAAAACAGACCTGTCTGGAATCCTTCCACTCGCTGGCATCAAGCCGGAGTGCGGCTTTCACTGCTCACACCCAGCTGGCCCCGCAGATGTTGGTGTCACCAATGCAACGCACGGAGCAAAGTCACTCGCTCCCCAGCACGCTGGAGCCGCAAGCGCCGCTTTCCCAGCGCTGCAATTACAACCTGCCTTTGCCTTTTTAATATCCCTATCAAGCATCCTCTGGGATGACTGCGCCCATCTGCTGCGAGGACAGGGATGGGGATCCGGGTAGAAGATACCGCAGAAGTTAAGCTGATTGAAATCACAGTTTCCTTGGCACCCCTCAGATCGCTGCTGCAGGCAACAGGACCACGGTGCAATGCTCAGCCCCACATTTCCCTTTATCACAAAGAGTTAATCCTGACAGGGAGCAGCAAACCGTGGAATAAGGAGGGTTTAAAGAAGCGTAGCACCCTCATCACACCAGGTCTGGATATGATCCCACTGCGGGGAGGGGGGGGGGTCAACAACAACTGCTTTCCATTGACTGGGTTGCTTTGACACATGCGAAGGAGCAGAGGGGTGCTTACCCCCACCGAACGCAGCCCAAGTGCCCAAGCCATGCCTACGGACAGCAGGGGACCAAGGAGGAATCATACTCCCTTGTTTTCATCCCCAGTAACTTTCCAGAGACAACTCAGAGCAGGGGGGCTAAGCCAAACCCCATCCCTTGGCATCCAAAGCTCCTTCTCGCTTGCCGCAGCACCAACAACGCATCCCCCATGGGGAAACTGAGTCACATTCCCGAAGGCACTGGTTGCCTTCCCGGTTCACGAGTCCCCCCCTCCAGCCCCCCAAGGCATCAATGCAGGTGCTCCTACCTGAGCGTGGCGCTCTCCCCTTGCCGCACTGTCACGTTGTCCATGGCTTTGGGGAAGGTGGCATCTCCGCTGCGCACGGGCACTCCTGCGGGCACAAGGAAGAGCAGCCTGAGACAGAGGACGACTAGGCACCTCCAGGGCAGGGCTAAGCACCCACCGACCCCCATCCTGGGCAGCAGGGACTTTTCCAACAGGCAAAAAACACACCCGACAAGGCCACCGGGAGCGAAAAGAGAAGGAGGGGGGGAGAGAGAGGAGGGATGGGGTGCGTGTGTGTGGGGAAGGAGGGGAGCAAAACCACCGGGGCTGAGCGATGAGGAGCTCCACGGAGATCAGGAGAGCCCCCGGCAAGGCAGGATGCGAGCGCTGAGCCTGCCGAGCGGCATCCGGAGGGAGTCCCCAGTATCCTTGGGTGAGGGAGGAGGACGGGAGGGCCGGAGGGGAGGAGGAGGAAGAGGAGGAGAGAAGATGCAGTGCAAGAGATGAAGGTCACAGATGTGTGCCTGCTCCAGACGCTACTTTAAGATTCAGACGGGTACGCGCTGCGGAGATCTGGCATCAAAAGTTTATAACCCAAAGAGGAAACGTGGCTCTGGCACGAAAAGGGAGGGCGGCCATAAACCCAGTCAAAAACAGGGGAGTTTGGTTGTTTGCCGGCTGCTGCTCTTTGAAATGATAACGGGAAAAGGAAAACAAGGCCCCCAAAACACCCGAAAGCTCCCCAAAATGCCGGTTCTTTCGCAAGATCGAAACTTCCCCGCGGAGCTGCCGGCGATGTCCCCCACGGGCCGGGCACGGGATGCTCCTCGGCTCCCAGAAGTGGGTCTCCGGAGGTGTCCCCCTCACTCAGTTGAGCAGCGAGGAGGAGGAGGAGGAAGGGTGTCGGGGCCGCGGCGGCGGCGGCAACAGCATCCCGGCCCGGGCGGGCGGCAGCATCCCCGGGCGCGCAGGCGGACTGCCCGCGGTTGTCATGGCAGCGGCTCCATCCCTGACCGGCGATCGGGCTCCCGCACACCCCGGTAACACCCGCACGAACACACACACACACAGAGCGAGGCGGGCGGAGCGCGCTTCACCCGCCAGCCTTTAACCCCCGCCGCACCGCGCTACACAGGGACCCCTTTCCCCGTTCCCTTCACTCTTACCTGCACCCAGCACCTCTAACATCGCCCTCCTCTACCTCTGCACCATCCCCGCCCTATGCAGGAGGGGAAACTGAGGCACGGGTCCATTCCCCCCCACCCCCCTTAAAATCAGGCTTGAGTTGCCCTCCTGGTTCTCTGCACCTCTCAAACACACAGCATGAGCTTAAGTGGCAAATTCCTCCCCAAGCACAAGCACGGTCCCCGCGTACTTTTTATCGGCTCATAATTTAACAAACAGCACATTTGCTTATGCCTGGTAGTTCCTCCTTCCCTCCGCTAGTGGCTAAAAACACATTAATATTGCCAGGCACAGTTTCCTGCTGGAAAAAGGTGCCCCAGACACTAAGTCCCAAAGCAAACACAGAGCCACGAGCTAAGTGGTGGCTTTCGGGGTGCTGCACTCGTAGAATCCCCCACCCCGAGCCCCACATTAAGGGAAACCAGAAGTCCTCCTCCTTCATCCATTGTTCCCAATGACTTCCCTGCAACACGGGACCTTATCCAAAGTCCTCCCTCCATTCCCCACCGTGCACTCGGCAGCTATTACACTGCACCAATTATTCCTCGTTTTACAACTCGCTGCCAACCTGAGCGGGGTTCCAAGTGGTGACCTAGATGTGAAAGGATCCATAGCCCGTTACTAATCCCTGGAGCCTCCGAATTCCCTGTAAACTACTGCTTAATTCACTAACTGTGCTATTTAATCTCTACAACATTATGAGCTGCGCCGGGCCGAGGAAACACTCAGTCAAATAAAGCTTTATTACTATTGTGCGTGCTGATAGGTCATAAGAGAAGGGGATTGCTTTGCAAGTCTCTGCTTCTTCCTTGTCTGAAGGCTTTCTGCTCCTTGAATTTAGTGCTGCTTTCCCCAGAGGGCACAGCAGCTTTCCCAGCTCATGGCAGGAGGAGTTCAATCTCTGCAGCTCACTTTGGCTGGGCTGACAGGGGAAGGATAAGCCCCTGCCTTGAGCAGCTCCTTTGGGCTCACAAATTACATGGGAGGGCTTTCTGAAACCTCAATGCAAAAAGCAAGCTCAGTGGTGGGGTGGAATGGCTTGTGTAGGATTGTGGCATTGCATAGACACTGCTTTTGGTGATGTTGCAGCATCCAAGCACCCCTGGCAGGATGGGGACCCTGTTATCCTACCTCCTCACTGCTGGACCAAGAAGCCATCACCACTCAAGAGGCTGTTCTCTTTGTGAGGCTGCAACTCAGGATGGGCAGGGACCATCTCCTGTGTCAGCAAAACCCATGGGATTCCAACAGCCAGAGCCAGTTAACCTTTCATTCTGGGCCACCATTGCAAGGAACACCTTAAACCATGCAAGAAAGCACCTGCCTGCATTGAAAACATGCGAGGTTGGGGCACAATGTGACCTGATGAGTGGCTTCAGTCCTTGGAAAGGCTGATTTTAGCCCACTGTTAGGAGCTTGTGAGGTTGTGTGATAAACCCCAAGGAATTTAAACCCAGGATCGTTGGCTCCTGCATACTAAAGCCCAGCAGAATCCTTGGTCTGTCTCCCCCATCTCTCGCATACATACAATGTACATATAAATCAGGCTGTCACAGCTCGTCTCTTTCCTGACAGCTGTAATTGCTCCAGACTATAAAAATATCTATAGACAATAAACACAAGGCACGAAAACAGCAAAGAGAAAAGCAAATCAAGGTTCCTTTAAATAATTCAGTTGCTCCAGCAGCAGAGGAGCCAGCAACTGAGTCCAGCTGTGAAGGTTCGGCAGCAAGAGAAAGAGAGCTTTGTAGCCTCCTCTGGGGATGAGGGAGTCTTTATTCCTTCGCTGGGTTTTGACCGCAGCAGCCGAAGTGCCGAGCTCAGCCACTTGCAAAGCAGCACCAACCCGAGCACGAAATGCAGCTTCTTGCTTTCAGCTCCTTCCCTTTCTTCCCACTTTAGATAAAAGTATTTATTCTTTTTGCTCTTTCGCAGTGCGAGCAACAGGCAGGAGATGAGAAGCAGCAAAGCACAGGCACGCTTTAGCTGTAAGCTCATCTCCGTATCCGTCTCCTTCATTCCAGCGAGGCTAAAGGCCCCCCTCTCCTGGCAGAGACCACAAACAGGGCAGCAGAAGCAGAGCGAGCCAGGGATGGAGATGCTCGGTGGGAAGAGCAGCAGCAGGACGCGCGGAGGAAGGGAAAGGAGTTTCCCTGGGGAGACGGCAACTGGAAGGATGCTGACACCACAGAGAGGGATGGGGTTAGGAGAAACAACAGCCTGTGCATATAGAGCGTCTCTATCAGAGAAGGGATAGATGGGAGGGGAGTCTTGATGCATTAAATCAGTCCCCAAAACTCCCTCTTACTGAAGAACCATGGCATTTGGCTTCCCACAGATGCTAAGGGACACCAAAAGGACTGCACAGCCTGGGAGCCTTTGGGCAAACACTGCCCCAACCTCAGGCTTTTGGAGCAAAACCAAGCCTAAGCTTCTAATCTAGAGATGTGAGTGGTCCCAAAGGGTGATAACCAGATGCAAAACTGCCGTTCAGGTCCCTTATCAAGTAAAACACCACTTTCTGCTGCTTTCTCAGCATCTCTTGTGCTTGTAGCTGCTTGCAGGGCTCCCATACACCCTGTGCATATACACCTGCAAACATCGACACAGCCAGTACTAACCAGCCCACACCAAAAGATTTCATTACTAAAGAAACTCCTTTGGAGCAGGTCATAGCAAGGCAATTTGTACAACCAGATTTTCCCTTTTAATTCCCTTTTTTCCTTTCCAGGAAGCTGAGAGATGACAATCTCTAACCTGCAAAGCCGAAATTGAATCTGAAATGGCCAAATATGAGCAGAAACATATTTTAGGCTAATTCCTTCAGAATGAAAAGTTCCTGCTGTCACATACCCTACTATTCCTTATTGTCCAAGAAGCTCAGAGTGCTGAAAGTGCTTAGTTTTCTTTGGTTTCAGTCAGGTGAATGAGCCTGAGGGAGCTTTTCCTGACTAACTACTGAGCCCTCAATGTCTACACCCGTTCAATGCAGACACAAAGGGCACTGACTCATTTATCCCTTCATTAATGGTGGCCCCAGTTAAGAAACAATGGTTGAGAGCCTTTACTTGGCTGGAGCCATTTGGAGCCCCTCAGGCCCCAAAGGCATTCCGGTGCTGAGCTGGAGAAACTGCCTGGGCAGGGCTGGTTTTAGGCCAGTTTTCTGAATGCAAGAAGCATCCTCATGGGCACTCAGCCCTCAGTCCTTGCCCTGGAGGAAGTGGGAGCTACCAGCACCCTCTTCACAGTGTTTAAAGGGCAGTCCTATTAATCCCTGCTAAAGATGTTGTTAATGTTTAACTGGCATTTCTATAAACTTACAGTAACTGTCCTATTAAACGCGAATAGAGTGGGCTTTTGGGAGCCTTCTCTAAAGCCATGCTGGGATCTGCTGCACCAGGCAAAAAGGAACACTTTGCCCTTTTAAAACAAGCACGGGGATTGGCATCTTCCAGTCCAAGTTAACTCCTGCCCTGAGCTGAGCTGGAGGACCAGCCACCTTGCAAGAGGCTGCAAAAGCCTGTCCCAAGCTGGTGCTTTCAAAGCTAAAGCCAGAATAGGATTTACCTCCCTATAACATCTCAAGAGGTAACCTGAGGAAGAGGGAAACCCCAACACCAGCTGCCAAAATCCCACATATAGCACTGCCATCCTTACTACACACAGGGATACAGGGCAGCATCCCTGAGGATGCGCTGATGCTACAAATGGGTCAGGCAGCAGTGAAGCTTGGACATGAGCTCACAGAGGGATGAACAGCCCAAGGCCTGGCTTTTCCTTTAGGAGTACTCCTTTCTATCACATGTCTCAGTCTTTAAACCTTTTACAACAGCCCAGCCAGCAGATGTGTATTTATGAAGGGAAAACCTTTGTACATCCAGTCTTAATATTAAACATCCATACAGGGAGAGAAAGAAAATTAATGAGGAGATATTGAGCCACGTTGGCATGGGGAAAGTTATGAACTGGGATCGATCCTTGCTACAAATCAATATTGCTCTTCCACAAATCTGTTTCTTGTTGTGCTGCTGTGATGCACGTTGTTGTATTAACACCCTGAAAGACATCCTATACAGCAGCATTTGATCGGCATCAATCAGATGCCAGAGCCAGCTGATGACAAGGGATAAAATCCTGCCATTAGCCATCTAATAGCGTTTTATAAGCACATGACATTAACCCTGTGCTCCACAACTCAATCCACTTTATGTTTTAATAGGAGGATTTGCACATTGGAAGAGTGAAAATGCTGAATAGGCTGAAAAAGCAAAGCCAACCATGTCCCGATTCCCACCATAGCCAGCACAGCAACCTTAAACATGAAAACATGAGCTTCTCCCCTCAATTTGGGGTTATTTGTGAGTCCTGCTATGGAAAAGCAGCTCCAAGAGTTGCTGTGCTATCTCCTTGGATAGCCCTAAACAAGACAAACCAAGCCAAGCCTTTCCCAGCCCATCTGGATATCAACACACACATCCTAAACTCCAAGGGGAAGCCAGAAGGTCGATGTCCCTGATTGATGCTGGCCCACCACCACAGTCACCCCTTTTCCACCTCATTTTGCCTAGCAAACCCTTTCTTACCAGAAAGCCATCAGATCCAGGCAAAACAGGCATCAGGAGAGGAACAGATACCTTGATTTAGACTATGATGATCCATAAAAAGCAGATAGGGAAAACAGAGCCCCTGACATCCCCCTTTTATACCACTGAGCAAACCCAGTGAAGCCCCAACACACTGCCTAGTGTTTGCCATCTTGGAAAATGAAACTCTCCTGCAGACACTGATTAACCTTTAGCTGCAGCTGCCTTTGGGCCTGTATCAGTCACTTGAACACTGCCAGGGATGGGACAGACACAGCTTCTCTGTGCCAGCGCCTCAGCACCCTCACAGGGAAGAACTTCTGCCTTACATCTAACC